ATTGTGCAGATAAAATATAACTGATAGAATTCTACAGAATGCGGTATTAGTGTGTGAAAACAGTCAAGAGCCAATGAATGGTACAGATGCAGGCACCATCCTGGTGCCCAGTCATCTTCACTTGGTCACTGGTGCCTGGCTAATTTCGAATACTGGATGAAAGGGAATTGCATAAGAAGCAAGAATGAACAGGGGAGCAAGCTGTGAACAACCATGTCAGTCTGGAGGAAGATCTTGAGTTGGTATACGTATAGGGCTTCACCGATGGATTAGCAGATGGACATATTTGAGCATAGGAAGACATTATTCCTCCCTCAGTCAAATGGCTCCCAATCAAGGAGAGTGTGTGTATTTGTGTCCTCCCTTGGCATGTGGCTCAGCTAACTTTAATCTGAAATGTAATTCTGTCCCATTAAAAAGAAACCCCATACCATGTCAATTGCAGCCAATCCTTACTAACACAGGATAAAAGACAACTATTACCAAGCCTGGAGAATGGAGGACAGTGAATGAATATCTTGTGCCACAGAAGCCAAATGAAACTAAATAAATGGGTGAGCTAAAAACCAGTATTTTCAAACATATGTTATTATGCTCATGACCAAAGATTTTGAAAGGTCTAACAAGAGAAATGTTTCTCTCTATTGTGAATAACATGCGATTTTAAAGCGAACAAGATTTAGCCTTTGTCTCTGTGTTACCATTCCCCAAAGGAATTTTGCCTGAAGATGGTAATTTGCTTCTCTAGTTAGGTCTCAGATGAAATAGCATTTTTCTTCCATTTAATTTAATCTGTTTGTGGGAATAATATTTAGGGAAAGGAAATCTTCTTTTCACCCCAGAAAAATCTAACCATGAAGTGCTCATTTTAAAGGTTAAACATGGAATAGACGGAATGTTAAGTGATCAATGAATAAGACCCCAAAAACATTTAAAATACCTATTTGCCACATTCAATTATTTCCATAACAATCATAAATTTTTTTAAGAAACTGGCCTTGTTCCTAGGTGCCAGCATCAAATTGTTCCTAGGTGCCAGCATCAAATTCCTAGGTGCCTTGAATTTTTATCCAGTGCTGGCCAAGAATGAAGGAAATTCTTCTATATTATTGATTACATAATGAGTATTACTAAAGCTCGCTCTGAGAAAATCAATTCATGGTCTGTTACTTTTACAAAGAATTCCAGAAGAACCTCCTTCTAATTTAAGCATGGTGTAGTGATTAGTAGCTAACTAGGGCCATGGAGATGTAGGTTTAAATCATCATTCAGCCATGAAGCTCACTGGAAGACCTTAGGCTAGCGTATCTCAGATTAATGTATCTCAATTTAACCTACCTCACAGGGTTGTGGGGAGAATAGCACGGGGAGAGGAGAACTAGGTATACTGCCTTGAGGTTCAAAGGATAGGACAAAAGTAGAATAAAAAAATGAAAATACTTGGCCACTGTTGAGAACGTAGTTTGATCACTGTGAAGTCTACCCAATGCTACCTATCCATGGTACTGACTATGAAATGGTTTAGAGAGGAAGGGTGAGCAACATCTAGTCTCATGCCAGATGGGGCTTTGGTGATCAGGGACTGAAATAATACTGGGTTTGCAGTTCGCAGAGTATTTTGTTTGACAAATGTCACACCCACTCTATTCCTGCCCAGTTACAGGGACAAATGCAATTGGTGCTTATACATTGAAAGTAATTTGTTTAGCAGAACTAAAGTCCATGCTTTTAGTGTATTTTAGGTTGCAATCATATTCCCATTTACCTAGGAGCAAACCCTGTTGAACTCAATGGGACTTACTTTTGTACAGACCTGTAGAGGACTGTGCTGTTAGTATGATTAATTTTTTTTTTCTGGCTTAGACATTCTTTCTGCTGCTGCATTTGATTCTTTTTATTTATGGTCATTTTATGTAAACTGTTTTCTGACGTTTTAAGCTTAAAACCAGCAAATAAATACTTTAAAGAACAACCAACAACAACCCACCTTTAGCAGTACTGTTCTTAACAGCCCAGTAACGAATGGGCATCTATCACAAAGTCTGTTGCTCTAGCCATAGGTGCTTGAAAACAATAAGACTTACCGGCTCCTTATACATAGATCCACATAATACAATGGGATCTTATACCACATATCTATTAATTTTTTTTCTGGCTTAGACTTTCTTTCTGCTTAGACTTTCTTTCTGGCTTAGACTTTCTTTCTTATACCTTATACCTATCTTATACTTATTCTTTCTGCTTAGACTTTCTTTCTGGCTTAGGCTTTCTTTCTTATACCACATATCTATGCAATGCCAGGAGAAAATGAAGCTAAGACGGAGAAGTGTCATTAAGAGCCTAGAAGGAGCATGCTACCTTTTGAAAACACATTTCCTCAAAATGCAGAGGGCTGATGAGTGGTTAAACATGATTTATCTTGGCTTTACTTAGCTCTCACTAATCCACAATGCTTAACAACTTGTCAGGAGTTTTTTTAAAAGATCCTCCTCCACTGGCAACCACAAGGGAGGTGATATAATGCAATGGCCCAGAAAGAGAGCAAAGTTTTGAATTTTCCCTCTGCTATGCACTTGCAAGGTGGCTGTAGGCAAGCCATTCTCTCTCAGCATCAGTCTCTTTCCTTATCTGCAGTATGTTGATAATACTAATTTACCCTCTAAACTTTTATAAGGATGACAAGATTGGTTATGTGAAGACTGAAAGCACTCTGAAAATGCTAAGTATCAACAACAAATCCTAGTTATTCTTCCCAAGGTACCAAAGAGCTCCCTATTAACAGAGCTTATCTTTGAGATATCCAGGAGCTACCAGGCCACTTAGGAATACATGCAGAGTCTTCACCAGCTAAGTCAGGACTAACAAAGGTCTTGATCTTTCATCTTTCCTACACCCTATCCCTTTTTCAGCACTCACACTTCCTTCTGCTCCCTAACACAAATCACATTTTGAGCTTTCACATCTTAAATTAAGACCCCATTCTATTACCTTTCCTCACTTCAAGCAATCCTTCAAGCCTTTCAATATCTCCATCCATACAAAGCAACACCCAATTTCGTCATTTAATTAATTAATTAAATAATAACAATAATTTTATTATTTATACCCCACCTATCTGGCTGGGTTTCCCCAACCATTCTGAGGGCTTACAGCTTATATATAACATAGTAAAACATTAAAAACTTCCTGATACAGGGCTGCCTTCAGATGTCGTCTAAAAGTTATGTAGTTCTTTAACTCCTTAACATCTGAAGGGAGGGCGCCACTATCGTTATGCAGTCAGGGGATGCGTGTTCCCACCTTCTCCCTTTATATGAGAAACCAATGATAACTTCATGTTCATTCATGCAAAACTTAACTTGATCAAGCATCCTTTGCATGAACCTCAAATCTTCATTTCAGTTAAACCTCCCCTTTGAATTTTTACTTGCAACTTCAGAGCATCTCCTGTCTCTGTGCTGTCCACAGATAAGTTAATACCATCTCACCCTCTTTTGCCACTCTCTTTTCAGTAACCAAATCCATGTTCTTAAGCCTCCCAGCAGAATCAGTGTCAACCTACTCAGTCATTTCCCATCTGAGCTGTTGCCTTACATACCCTAACTACAGCATTGGCCCGTCAAATCCATGCAGCTAATGTAGCCAGCTAATGAGGAACCCACATTGGCACTTGTCATCACAATTTGCTTTCCATTCACTGAGGACTCAGTCTGTCCCAATACACCCTTCAAAGAAGGAGCAGCCATCAATCTTTCACTATACCCCCCTCAATTTACCACCACCACCACCACCAATCCCAGAGGCCATAACTCAGTGCATTGCATGCAGAAGGTCCAATGTACTATCTCATGTCAAGGAGAGATTTCTCTGCTTGAAACTGCCAATGACAGGAATGAGACTGGGCTTGGTGGAGCAGTCATCCAACTCAATATAAGGCAACTCTTATAGGGCAGGGATAATCAACATGGTGCCCTCCCAGATGTTGGTGAACTGCAAGTCTCATTATCCCTGCTATTTGGCTATGCTGCCAGGTGCTAAAAGGAAATGGAACCAAAAAATATTTGGAAGACACCACATTGGCTACCCATGTTTTAGATGTTCACCATCACTCTGTGGAAAAGCACATACTGAACCTCTCAAATTCATTTCTGGTTAGAAAAGAGAGCAGCTAGGTTGCATAGGTTTATCAGAAGCATCCACAGCTCAGTTGCAGACCACCTTCTTTGCTTGCAAAAGGTCACAGGTTAAACCCCCAGCATCTCCATCAAAAGGATCACTAGTAAGACTGCTAGGAAAGGCCTCTGTGTACCTGGGAACATGGAGAACTGTTCAGATGACAACAGCAGTGTGTCTGGGTCAATGACCCAACGCATCTTAAGGAAGCTTAACATTCACAAGGGTAGCCAACATGATGCTCTCAACTCCCATCAGGCCCAGCTAACATGATCAATGATGAGGGATAATAGGAGTGGGAGTCCAAACATCACGGGGGGGGGGCTTCTGGATGTAGCAATCCCATCTTTTACCGGCAGTACGAACCACCTCATGCAGAATGGGAGCAGCCTCAAACTTCAGAAAGATGCTTCCAGGCAGAACAGGGCTGGGCTAGGTTGCCTGATGCTCAGACCGCTTCAACTGTTAACACGGAACGTCCCTCTTACCCCTCTGCTCGAAGCCACCTTCATCCCCACAGAGCAACGCCGACCTCCCCTTTTCCCGCCTCCTTGTGGGATGCCCTGGAGGTCACCCCTTTGACACCCCGACACCCTCAATCAGCCCTCCTGGGGGGGGGGGAGTCACAGCCTCCTCCCCCTCACCAATAACGTCATCCCCGTTCAGGGCTGGGGGAGCGGCCTACCACCCCGCCCTCCGAGGACCCAGAGCGCGATAAGTTGAGGTGAGGGAGGCGCCCCCCCTCCAATTCCAGGGCGCCTCAGCCCAGCTCCCTTACGACCCTCCGCCCACTTCCGGGCCTGGAAGCCGGGCCCGTCTCTCCTCACCTGACCGGACGGGAAGGGGACGAGGAGGGAGGGAAAGCGGCTCCGAGAAGCGGCAGGGCGCGAGACAGGGCCTCTACTGGCGGCGTCGGAGCAAGGCGGCCATGGCGTGACGTCATTCGAGCGCGCCGTCGGCGGCGGCGACGAGACGGCTAAAGAGAGTGTGTGAAGGGTTTGTGGAAGCGCATGCGCAGAGGCGCCCCGGGCAGCGAGAGATTAAGAAAAAAAATAGAAAGGGGTGTGGCGGCGCATGGTTAAGCTCCAGAGAAGTAGTCGGAGGGCGGGGACCGCCCCTAGAAGGTTTAGCAGCCAATCAGACGACCTAACCTAGAGATGGGGCGGGAGACAGAGCTTTGTTGCGCTTGCGCACTGAGTCCTTTGAGCACTTTTACTGTCCAGAACTTGTTTCACGGTCACTGTAATATAAAGCAAGAATGGTTCTGAGCACGTGCAGAGTGCCTAGAGCGCCAGCGTTGCAACTCTTGTTTTCCCCGCCCCAGCACACATCCCTTGTGTCAGGCATCCGTCTACCTAAGAACGACACAAGGCTCAGAAATTTAAAACCTGAAGCTTCCATCCAATGTTGCAGCAACTGATTTCCTACGAAGCTAAGTGCAGCAGATGGTTAGGGTTGTTGATTCCAAACCCCACCCTTTGGCAGGCCAATGGTTGCCATCATTGCTGGCAGAAATTCAAGAGGTGAAGCTTTCTCCCAGTGCTGTATGTAGAGTTTGGTGAAAGCTACACCAGTTGATTTTGACAGCACAGTTTGAGGAAGCTCTACAGAAACTAATCAACCATTTTGCTCATCAGCCTGACAAAGACCAACATCCTGTGTCAGGATGACTCCAGCACTTCTCGCCTCAGTATCGGTGACCACTTGCTTGAGGTGGTAGATGATTTTGTCTTCCTGGATCCCACCATAACCAGCAACGTCTCCATTGATGCTGAGCAAGGCAGCTACGGTGATGGCTTGCCTCTCCAAAAGTGTATGGGAGAATGTGGTGCTAATGTCCAATACCAAGATAAATGTCTACCAGGCTTGCTTGTTGAGCATGCTGCTTTATGGAAGTGAATCATGGGCAACTTACAACCGCCAGGAGCAATGCCTCAACACCTTCCACAGGCACTGCGTCAGGAAGATTTTGGCCATCACATGGCAGGACAGAGTCTCAAACAATGATGTGCTCTTCCAAACCCACATTCCCAGCATGTTTGCACTCCTGTCTGAGTGATGTCTATGCTGACTTGTTCACAGAAAAATGATTTTCTAGCAAAAACAGGGCAGCAGATAGGGTGTTTATCCACTGTCTGTTCCCCCACAAAATTCAAGAAATGACAAATAGAAAAGTAGAAAATATAAACAGGGAAGGAGAGAATGAACTTAGAAAACCCAGGTTCAGATCCTCACTCAGCCGTGAAGCTTGCTCAGACCTTTGACCAGTCACTGTCTCTTAGCCTGTTGTTGTGAGGATAAAATGAGAACCATGTGTATCACCTTGATCTCCTTGGATGAAAGGTGAGTTGTAAATGTAATAGGTTAATAAATAACAATAGTGATCAGATGTGGGGAACCTTTTACCCTCAGGTGTTGCTGAACTACAACTCCCATCACACCCAGCAAGCATAGCCAGGGATGATGGGAGTTGCAGTTCAGCAACATGTGGAGGACCAAAGGCTTCCCACAATTGATATAGCTCTATAAACGAGCAATTATAAACTGACTCAAAACCTTAAGATGGAGATAATCAAAAGCAGGTTGGAACTAAGGAGGAAAAGTTGTAACTGGGAAATGCAATTGCCAAATGCAACAGAAGAGGGAGCTCACACCCAACAACAATGCATAGTTGAACACTTGCAGCCTTTTGTCTCTTAAGCAAAAGGACAAATGTATACAAATCTGACATCATAAATGGCCAAACATTCAAAAGCCAGCAGGGGAGCATTTCCACCTCCCAGAACTTTCTGTAATGACTTTAAGGGATACTGGAACAAAGGAATTTCATAGACTGCAGCTTGAAACTGCTGGTGGTTCAGTTCACTTGTGGATTGAACCACTACCATGGATTTACCCCCTGCGATACTTGTGTTAATTGGTGTACCAATGCCAGGATGTTTGTGTTATCAACACAACTAAGTTAAGTTTTACTTTTTTAATAGTCACTGTTAAAAATGTTAATAAGGGGTAAATTCCTATCTGTGTGTATATGTGTGTGTGAGAGAGTTTTAGATCTGTTGTTGGAAACTGCCTGATAAGAACAAACCAGGCTAGAGTCTCTCTTAGAGCTGTGCTGGACATATGTTTCCTCCTAAACCGTACCCCTGCCTTGCCCCTCCAGTTTCCTTCTTATTTCACATTTCTGCTTTATGGACGTGCCCTTCCTCCACCTCTTTTTGTGGGCATATTGCACATATGTTGATTTAGTCATGGTCAGAGTCATTTAGCTAATTTCCCCAAACTGAAGTGATTGATACTGACAGTTTAATGTAGCTAATTGCTGAGCTAATTGCTGAGCTATTCCTCACTGCAGAAATAAGTAAATCTGCATATTTTGATTGTGTGTTTAATAAGTATTATCTCTGTATTCATATTGGTAAATACTCACATGAGTAGGAGACAATATGGCAGACTATGGCAGCATGACAGGTCGCTGGCGGTGGGTCCTTGGTGGGTCAGCCCCACAGGAGTGATACCAAAGGGGCTTCTCTTATTCGGATTTTTAACTTCAGGGGTCATGGTGTGGGTGAGGGCACTACCCAAAGAACTTGTTTATGTCCCCCAGCCTAGACAAATGTTTATTGCTTGGTGGAAGAGTGTGGAAGGAAAGTTATTGGCTGCCATGTGGTGTGACAGCCCACAACAAGGGTGGACATAGGGCCCCTCCAGGTAAGAGCCAAGGTGTGGGTGTTTGTAGTTGTGTGGATCCAGGTGTATTGTCTGGACCATGGTGATATCTTCCATACTACTAGTCAATGTTTTGTGTTGTTGTTATTCTCCCATCTGTTTAGTTTACACTGTTAAATTAGGTGAGACTGCTTGTATCGTGTCATACAAATGCTTACTTTGTTTTTCCTTATGATATTATATCCAATTGTTTCCAATATGTTTCTTGAAGTGTCATACTTCGTTTATTTGATAACATTGCAAGCCACTTTGGGCACAATTTTGTGGCATACAAATAAACATGATGACAACGATGATGATGCTCTTTATCCTAAGGGCCTAGGGCGAGTTGCAGCCATTAAAACACAATATTAAAAAACAGTTTGGAACAATTTAAGATTACGGAAATAAGATGGGTCCTAAAAATATACATCTTGGGTGTCAAAAGAGGTGTGTCTTCAGCACTCACCCAAAGCTGTGTAAAGAAAGTGCCAGACACACCTCTGTGGGGAGGGAGTTCTGCAATTTAGGAGCTGCCATAGAGAATGCCCCCTCTCAAGCCGCCACCTCCCCATCTTCTGAGGGAGGAGGAACTATCAAGAAGGCCCCTCTGCCAATATTAGCACCCAAGAGCGTCTGGAAGGTTGTTGTGATCTAGTCATTCTCCCAAATCAGCTAAGACCACAAAATTATTAGGTAACATTTAATTTAGATTTATTAAAGCAGAATAATACATTCTGGGTTATTGAGGCCACCCCTGAATGCAGGTTTTTCCCACATGAGGGGAGCTTACTGTACATCTTGAGAGAGGCAGAATCTTCAAACTGAATGAATCCACCATAAATCAAAGGCAGCCTGCTGAGAATTACCTACAGGCCCCTCTTCCTGACTCACCAAGGAAAGCTGAAATGAGCATTTTGAATAAAGTATTATACATTAGAAGTCAAGCCCAAATGTGTCTGGGGTTGGGATGGCAGTGCCATTTCAGCGGTTTGATGAGCATGAAATGAGGTACAAGAGCAGGGAGGCGAGATTATGAATTTGTTAGTGAAATATGTAGACAAACAGAGCCAAATCCATCACTGAAGTCAATCAAGGCACTTCTTATTCTTAAAACAAACCAACCCTGAGACGAATGTTGATTTTACACCAGTTTCAGAAGACTGGATACTGCAAAGTCTTGAGTATTTCCCGGAGATTTAACAAGGTATGCTTGAACTCAATCTTATGTGGCTGAGTTTTCCCACAGACCACAACAGAAATACTTTTAACTGGTTTTAAAGTTGTATTTTTATATTACTATAACCTGCCCTTGGACCTTATGGTCGAAGGGCTTTTTGAAAAAAGAAGTCTTCCTAGTAGCAGTAATAATAGCAGTATTAATAGACTACCTGGAAATGCCAGGGATTGAAGCTGGGACCTTCTGCATGCAAAGCAGATGCTCTGTTGTTGAGCTATGGCCTTTCTACCACAGGCGAGGACTGGTGTCTTCAAGCCCTGCTTGTATAGCTCCTCATAGGAATCTGCGTGTTACCAGTGACTTTGCCTAATAAACCTTTGCTTCCGACAAAGGAGAGCCATCTGGAAACACTGCTGAGGCCTAAGCAAAAGCAGATCTAGCACCCCCTCCTATTCCAAGCAGAGAAACTACGGTAACTGAACTGGCAGTTCCGTCTTACTTCAGCACCGGTGACAGGACAGCACCCTACATCACACCTGACATCAGGCTAGCTTAGAGGGCACAGTGGCCAGGCCACGTGACACACCCAGCTCTGTCCCCCCAACACTTTGGGAAGATCTTTGCCATACATTTAAAGCACATGGCTTCCTTCAAAGAACCCTGGGGACTATAGTTTGCTAAGGATGTAGGGAATTTTAGCTCAGTGAGGAGGAAACTACAGCTCCCAGGATTCTTTGAGGGAGGTCATGTGCTTTAAATGTGCACTGGATGTGCTTAAAAATTACAGTGTGGATCCATTATTTGCTGCTGATCCCTGTTCCCCTGTATCTGCCAGCTGAGGTAGCTGCCTCAGGGCCCCTTGAGACTTGTGGGTTGTGTGTGTGTGTGTGTATTCTGAAACATGCCATTGACACCATAATCATTTACTTATGCTGGACTGTCCACACATCATGTTAACTCATTATTGCCCCTGAGGGAGCACTCATGCACTATAGCACAACAGAAGCAGGACAAAAAACAAAAAACTGAAACCTTTGTGGTTTTAAAAGTGACAGTATTTCAGTGGGAAGCTATGGGACACGCACTGGTTGAAAATGAAACATATGTCCACACAAATGTGTTTTCAGCCAAAACCGTATTGGAAATAGAATGGCATCTAGCCATCCCAATACAATCAACTCAAATAAACATGAATGCACAATAGAAAGGACCCTGTCTAGTGGTAGGACTGGTGCCCAGTGTAAAACCATACTAAGGCATCTCTGAAACCTTTGGCTGAGCAGATGAAATGGCTGTGGCTTAATGGTTTGAGGACTGGGCTGCTTGCTGGGAAAACTGCACAGAGACAGAGGAGAGGTGGGGGATGCTTGACGATGAGCGATCCACCATGGAAGCAGACAAAATCTCTTCTCCCCCTCCCCTCCACCCCCTCATAATAGGCCTGCAAGTGAGTCACCCTCCCTGCCACCTCAGCTCTGCTCTGATTTTATGTTAATCCACAGAAATCTTCCCTTCCAATCTCTCAAGGCAGAATTGCCTCAGTACCTCTCAGCTCAAACTATTACCCAGAACAACAGTCGAGTCTTTCCTGCTCCTTTGACTGCTGCAGAAATACAAAATCAACTTCTTGGTCTTGGGTCTTCTGACAGGTTGAAACCCCCTCTGCTTTGTGGGCCCTAACAACAAGGTGTGGATGAAAGCACAAGACTCCCCTCCCCTCAGCCACCAACCTATGCTGCCCTCAGAGCTAAATCTGGAAAGAATCACCAGAGCTTAAACCAGGAGTGAGCAACCTGCCACCCTCCTGATGTTGTTGGATGACAGCTTCTGCCATCTTTGGCCATTGGACATGCTGGCTGGGGCTGAGAGGAGTTGGGGTTCAAGCCCACCCCCACCCCAACCTGTAGAAAGCCACCACTGGTTTAAAGCAGGCTTCTTATTTTCCATAGGTGGTGTTTTCCCCCATAACACAGGGATTGGCAACTTTAGACCCGAGAGCCAAATATGAACCTCTGTCTTGCCCTCAGAAATCTCCCAAGTCCACACCCTTTGTACCAGCCCTGCTCAAGTGCATTTGTCTGGCTGGGATGGGTTCTTGAACTGTGAGAATGCCTCTTGCTTGCCTGGATGGAAGGTGGATAGAGAGACAGGTGTGTGTTTAGAAACCTGTGACTTTGGCATGGTTGGAATGTAGCCCACTGTACAAAGGTAAGAGTCATGGCCATCATGCTGGCCACACCCACTTTTGTCTCTGGCTCCACCCACCACCAGTGAATTGTGTCTCCTAGAAGGTTCCACCCAAAGGGAACTTTGTCTTATATTCAGACTGTTGGTCCATCTAGCCCAGTAATGTCTACACTGACTGACAGCAGCCTGAAGATGACATCAGGGACTGAACCTGGGACCTTCTGTATGCAAAAAATGTGCTGCGGTCCTGAGCTTCAGCTCTTCCCCAAAGTACCACGGATGTACAGCATTTTTATCCCACTGCTTTACAATATCATTTGAACCACTGAAGGTGAAAGTAAGATAGCAGGTTGTTCCCACGGTTGTTGAGCTAGGATCATTCCCAGAAAGCAATAACTTCATTTTCTGGCTAAGGAATCCCACAATTCTTTGCTCACTTTTTGTGTACCAAAAAGTAGTGTCCAGAAATAAATATGGGGGTGTATCTTACTTGTATGCTTAAACCTATGCAATGTAAATATTTGTTCCTGTGAAAAATGAAATGTGGAGAGTCTATGCAGTCTCCAAATCTCCTGTTGTGTTGCCATTGAACTGCGACTGTTGAATTAATCTTCCACACTGCTTGCAATAATGTAAGCAATTTCTCCAGAGAGAGAAATCCTGATAACACTTTATGGAGGAAAACTGAACAAGATCAGTGTATAATATGTGGAGAAATAAACAGAGACGTTTTGACTTTCTCACACATTTGTGTGTGCAGGTGCGCGCGAGTGTAACAATTAAAACACACAACATCATTAACAATAACATAGATAGACCTAGTGAAAGGAGTTGTAAAGTTTGAGACATTACATTTTGGCATGTAAGTCCATTTCATTATTATTCAAATTTCCAGGTTCCCAAGTGTAGTTGTCCAAAATGTCTCATGGGTTTACAGAGCTGGATTGGGAAGACTTTTTTTGACATAGACACATATTTAATACATTTATACCACACAACATGACATTTGTCAACTTATGGATCTTTACTTTGTGCTTTCATTTTATCGAAGAAATTTCCCATGAGGGAAATCTGCCAAACTTCTTGGCACCAAAATTTAAATAAATTAAAATGAGAAGTTTTCCAATGTTTTGCTATTACCAATCTAGCTGTTGTTACCAAGAAAATAATAAGGCTGTTAAAAACTATATTCTGTCCTGAGTTATCAAATATTATCAATAAAGATAATTGTGGTTTAGATTGAAGATTTTAGTTAGCAATTTTATAAATATCATCAAAGATTTCAGTCCAAAATTTAGATATCACTTTGCATGTCTACCATATATAACAAAATGTTACCCTTTCACTGCATTTTTTCCCAACTTACTGAGGATATATTTGAATTTATTCTATTCTATTTAGAAGGGGTCAGCTAGTTAAAATTATACTTCTCAGGTTTTGTCTTTCTTACTTCAGGCCTTGTATATAGCAGGGGCAGGGAGACATTCACCTAAATATATAGAAGAAAAACTCCTTCAGCGAATTGGACACATGCTACTTAAGCAAACATCATGCATTTTCACCTGGTCGCTAAGCAATACCTCCATCCATCCCTCTCTTGGCTAGTTCACAAACAGAAATTACCCCTAAGTTGTACACAGAATGCTGTTGTACTTCCAAAAGGTGCATAGGTCATTCAGTATGTGTGAGCACAACACCCTGTGTTGGTTGCTCACCTCTATCACCATCCTATACACAGGGGTTCCCCATCTTGGTGGCCCCCACTACATAGCTGGACTACAATTCCCATCATCCCTGACCACTGCTCATGTTGGCAGCAGCTGCTGAGAGTTGTAGTCTGAAGCATCTGAGGGCACTGGGTTGAATGCCATAATATACCACTAGTAGACTCAATCTCTGAATGTAGATTCTTATGTAGCCAAACCAGGTGCCAGAGCATAGGAGCCAACTCCTAAGGGCCATGGGAGCTTCAGTAAGTAAAATATTTGAGGGGGCCAGGCCCCCACAAATTAGATGGGCAATACCATTTGAATGGTGTGTGCGCACTGCATCATCTCATTGATTATGCAGGGCAGGGCTTACCTTGGCCCCCACAATGTTTTATTCAAGTTGTCACCCCTGTGCCAGAGAGGGGTATCAGCACTCAGTAGGCTTAGGGGAACTACAAGATCTGCAGGAGTACAGGTGGGTAGGGGGCTTTGTTCTTCTCTTTGAAACAGTTTGCTCTGGAACTCCTTGAATAACCCAGGAGCTGATAGCAAGAAGGGGAAAGAGAGCGTCTCTCTCTCTCTGTCTGTCTGTGTGTAATTGATATAATTTGCTTTCAAATATTAAGAAGGATGATTGGCAAAGACATAAAATGACACATTTCTCACTGAATTGTATTCACAGCCAGAGTGGCTATTTTTGCAAAGCCTAGGTAATTTGCTCAAGGTCACTGAGAGAATCTGTGGATGGACAAGGAACTGAACTCAAGCCCTTTGGCAGATGCATCCATTCTGAAATAACTGTGTAGGCCAGACCCTACAAAGAGGTCAAAACACTGAATCCCCATATTGTCCACAGAAGATGTAACTGACACTCTCTGTGTGTCCTAGAGAAGGTCACATATCAGGACTCACCAGTGGTTACAAAATTCTGCCCTCAGAGATGGTTCAAGAGCAGGCGCCACCAAGCTGATGCCTCAGCTTGGATGACAGCTCCTGACAGCGTAGTCTAAGAGAGATGGCCTTGGAGAATCTCTGCCAGTCAGAGTAGGCAATACTGGGTTAGTTTTACCAAAGGTCTGACTCAGAACCAGCTTCATATGCTCGACTTGGGGATGAAGATAATTCTGTAAAGCGGAGGTGGGGAACCTCAGGCTCTGGGGCTGAATGTGGCCCTCAAGGCTTCACTATCTGGCCCTCAGGACTCTCAGCAGACCCCTCCCCTGGTCACGCCTCCTGTCTGGACTTGAGTGCTTTTCCATTTGGTGACAGCTGTCAAAATATACCTCACTTGGCCAACAGAGCAAGCAATAAAAACAACTGATGAGCAGTGGCACTTTTTTTATTCGCTCTTCCTACACTCCCTGATTGTGTGTTAAACAATGCTGATTGCAATTTATCCCAGGGAAGCAACAAAGAGAGGGTCTCTCCTCTCATACCATAGCCCTGCCAGAGTGGAGTTACATCAGCTGACGAAGGGTCCCCCTTATATCTGCCAGCAAAAACTGCATGAGCCACACAGAAAAGGGAGGGAGAGAAAGAGAGAGGCAGGCAGATGCTGTAGAAGAGGCAGGAGATACGAAGGCACTCCGGCAAAGCAGGACGGAGAGGAGAGGAGGTGAGGGACAGGGACGCTGCATGCCTTTAACTCTCCTTCCTCTGTTGCCTCCAGTCTCGTCCAGGATCTAAGAATGATGCAAAAAAAAAGAAGGTAAGTTTTGCAGGAAAAGTTAGTTCCCGGTTTCGTTTTGCTTTTTTAAAAACCAAGGCAATAGGTTTTGAAAAGAGGGAGGAAAGAGGGTGATCTCCTAGGTGGTTACTTGTCTGCTTTAGACCATTTAAGGTATTGCCTTATACCAAGCCAGGCAACTGGTTCATCTATCTCTGCATTGTCTTCACAGACTGGTAGCAGCTTCTCAGGGTTTCAAGCAGAGAGCATTTCCCAGCCCCACCTGGAGATCGAAACTGGGTCCTTCTGCATTCAATGCAGGTGCTCTACTGCTGAGCTACAGCCCTTCTCCCTAAATGAGATGATCCTATAGATTTCAATGTGTAAAGGCATCCGCAGGAACAGGCTCAATTGTGGGTATAGTTTGCCTATCCCAGAGAAAGAAGCAGAAAAGATCTGGGGATTCTTGAATGATATGGAAGAGGAGGAGGAGCAAACAGGTTTTAGGTGACAGGACACAGAGCCAACAAACATCAGCAGCCCTTTTGCAGTAAATGTTTGGGTAAAGCTCCGTCGGCAAGGTAACCTGTCATGCTTTGCACCTTTAAGATGCCTTGGCAAACCATGGAGTTAATCTCCTATTAGAATTCTCCCCTTTGACACTTTGCCTGTGAGAGACACCTTGCATGCATCCTTTCTGAATACTTTGCAACCAGATCTGTGGCACACACATTGCATTCTCACCCAGGCTTCCTGCTTAAACCCTCCCTCCCTTATATTTTTTCACGCATGTCTGAGTGGTTTATTTTTTCAACCCTTGAGTGTATGTTATGTTTAACAGCAAATATTACTTACGGAATAATGAATCTACAGAGGTCAAATAATAGCTTTCACAATAATGTTTCTTTTTTGGCAATGTGCTGGCTGTGCTGACCTGACTTGATGAGGCTGCCCCCCCCCCAAAAAAAAGAGAGAAAAGGAACAGAAAAGAATCCATCAACAGCAGGAAGGATGCCATTTGGGCAAATTAGGCCAATATAGGGTTAATGAAACCAAATGTTTGGCATCTTTTGATCCCATTCTTGTCTTTCCACCACTTCCATGTCCATCTACCCTTCTGATGGCCACTCTGGGCTCCTTGGGGAGGAAAGGCAGGGTATAAATTTAACAATAAATAAATAAATTGCTGGAAGACAAGGCAATGGTTTGATTTCAGTGAGGGTTCGTGTGCCTGTGTCTCCCTTTCTCGGCCATGGCGTGTTATCTCCAAAACTCACATTGTGGGACACTTGGAGAGAATAATACAGGTTGCCGTAGGAATCTGTGAAGTGGCTGGTCACCTGGGTACCAGAGGAAGGGCAAAGATGACACAAAATTAGATCAAATGGGAAAGCCCAGAGGGCCAGGGTGTGCCTGTGGGAACGGGCTGGCATCTACTGACTTCAGCCATGTTTTGCACCCTTTACGCTCAACAGCAGCAGAAAAAGGTTTAGTTAAGATCAGGGGGAAGCAGCCGCTCTGTTCAAATCCCTCCTCAGTACACACTGAGTGTAGCCTCCTTCCAGATAAGGCAGCGTATCGGGGAAGGAGAGGCTGTAAGCGGAGAGAAAGAGAGAGAGAGAGCAAGAGAGAGGGATAGCGAAGGAATGCATCAAAATCTAATAAACCTTCTGGCGGTAAACCGACAGAAGGTTTCTAAATTGGTCAATTTCCAGGGTTTTTTAAACAGATTAATCAATTCATTATTCAATTAAATGCAAACACATCAATGCTCTGCAATGTTCCAGCTCAGGAGCACCAAGCATGGACCCCCTCACCCCCGGCTCCCCTTCTCTGGTGGTGGTAGTGGGCACCTCCAGGAGGGCAGTCAGTATGCGGAAGCCTGTTCCCCTGCTCTGATGGCTCTTGCTAAAATCAAGCTGATTGACTAGGTCAGTCAAGAGCTGCACTGCTCACTATATGTCTGGCAATGTTTTTGGCACATTCTTGCCTCCCCAACACTTTCCATGCTCACCTATGCTTCTCATTGCTGTCCTGGGTTCGTATTTGTCGTGGCTGGGTGGGAAGGCAAGAATAGGCATTTCGTTATAACAAGGCAAACACTCGAGATGGTTTGATGGAGTGATACTCTGGAAAGTAAAAGCTTACTCTTCTAGGTTTCCTTTTCATTGAAGCCGGTGGGAAAAGAAGGCAGCCCTCGTAAAGTCGTGAATGGCAAGTGTGTCGCTTTAAGAGGCCCTGATCACAGAGTCAGCAGTTCGAGCTCATGGCCCTCTGATTCACGTGGGGGACCAGCATTTTAACATTGATAGGTACAGGTCTAATTTATGGACTGATCAGATTATCCTAATCTGTCTCTTTCCAGGCTAGCAAACAACAAATTAGGCAAACAATACAATATCTTTCTAAGCAGTAAAAGCTTTAAACAGCAAGTGACCCGGAAGACTGACAACTAATCCGAGAATGTTGGCACTGGACTGGTCCATCATGGGATCGGCTGCTGAGACCACATAACAACTGGTCTTGAATGGACCTCCTTGGCTCCCAGTACGTTTCCGAGCACAATTTCCAAAGTGTTGAGTGCTGGCCTTTTAAAGCCCATAAACGGCCTCGGCCCAGTATACTTGAAGGAGCAGTCTCCAGCACCCCATCGTTCTGCCCGGACACTGAGGATCCATCACGAAGGGGCTTCTGGCAGTTGCCTTCTCTGTAGTGGCGCCCGCCCTGTTGGGAACACCCTCCCATCAGATGTCAAAGAAATAAAAAATTCTATCTGACGTTATAGAAGACATTCTGAAGGCAGCCCTGTTTAGGGAAGTTTTTAATGACTGAATGTTTTAATGTATTTTCAGTCTCTTGTTGGAAGCCACCCAGAGTGGCTGGGGAAACCAGTAATAAGTAATAAATCATTACAATATTATTATTATAGTGAAGAACATCTATTAAAAAAACAACAGTCACATACCACCACATAGTTTCAAGGTTACTTGGAATAGTATCTTTTAGCCATAAAGCCTTGGGTGAATGGGAATGTTTTAAAATTGCTCCTGAATGTTAATAAAAAGGAAGACAAACACATATCTCCAGGGAGGGCATTCCATAAACAGAGAACTACCAACAATAAGACCCTGTCATGGGACAATGCCAACAAAGCAACAGCCAGTTAATTAGTTAACAGTGAAATCCTTTTAATGTTTACTTGGAGTTAAGCCCTGGGAGAATTATTCCCTTTTTTCTGATGTTCAGGCTGCGGGTGAAATCTGGCTAAAACAGCACCAGCCACACAGAATCAGCAGGCTGGAACAGGCTGGAAAGGGTGCAGAGAAGGGTGGCCATATAACTAATGGGATGGAGCAACTCTGCAATGAGGAGAGTTTACAAAATAAATGTGGAAGAGGGGTGATGATAGAGGCGTGAAAATTAGGCATGGTATGTTTTGTTGTGCATTTAATGTTGCATTTTTAATTACTGTGCATTTTAAGAATATTGTGTAATTAGTTTCTATATATTTTTAAAACTGCTTAGAAGCCTATTTTGGCATTAAGTGGTATATAAACATAATAATAATAATACCAATTATTATAATACCACACCACCAATATAAATGCGAAACAACTAACATACAGGGACCATAATACCTGCTAGTAGATCCAAAATATGGAAATACAGCCGTGACAACTAGCCCCACACACCAAATTTGCAACTGTGCTTTTATTGATAGCAGCAATGCTGTCATTATCTGCTTTCTCCCAGTGCTGAGCTACTAAACATTTTGCTGCCACCAGAAGACAATATAATATTTTTTTAAAAAAATCAGAGTTTGATTCTCTTCCATGTACCCCAATAGAATTCTTAGGACACATTCACACTATACATTTAAAGCCCTATAATACCACTTTAAACAGTCACTGCTTTCCCCAGAGAATCCTGGGAGCTGTACTTGTTAAGGGTGCTGAGAGTTGTTAGGTAAAGGTAAAGGGGATTTGCGGGGATTCGAACCACAGACATTCTGATCGGCAAGTCCTAGGCTCTGTGGTTTAACCACAGCGCCACCCGTGCCCCACAGAGTTGTTAGGAGATCCCTATGTTCAAGGAGTTGCCTGTGAAGAGGGATTGAATGTTACGCCACTCTGGGAACTGCAGCTCTGAGAGGGGAATAGGGGTCTGTTAACAACTCTCATTACCCGTAACAAACAAACAAACAAACAAACAAACAAACAAACTCCCAGGATTTTTTGGGTGGTGATGGGAAGCCATAATGTTTAAAGTGGTAACATAGTGCATTAAATGTATGGTGTGAATGTGGAATTATAGAATCTAATTTGATTATACCTGAGGGTGGTGCTGTGGTCTAAACCACTGAGCCTCTTGGGCTTGCCGATCAGAAGGTCAGTGGTTCGAATCCCCATGTCGGGATGAGTTCCTGTTGCTCGGTCCCAGCTCCTGCTAACCTAGCAGTTCAAAAGCATGCCCCCCAAAAGTACAAGTAGATAAATAGGTTCTGCTCTGGCAGGAAGGTAAACGGTATTTCCATGCGCTACTCTGGTTTCGGTGTTCTATTGCACCAGAAGCGGCTCAGTCATGCTGGCCACATGACCTGGAAAAACTGTCTGCGGACAAACGCCGGCTCCCTTGGTCTGTAAAGCGAGATGAGCACTGCAACCCCAGAGTCGTCTGCGACTGGACTGAATTGTCAGGGGTCCTTTACCTTTACCTAGTCTCTTTATGTTTTCTCAATATTTGTAACCATTTTTTTTTAAAAAAAAAATGTAGATCCTTCCCTGTGGTATTTTCCCCTTTTTTAATTGTCTGATCTGTGTACTTTCAGGACTTCCCTGTCTGGCTGAAGGCAAGTGCTGATGGGGTTGAATGGGAATGAGGAGACCTTCCTCTGTGAAATCTGATTCTGTGCCTCTCTTGACCCAAACAACCAGCAAACCTTCCTCGCTTCCATCCCCGCCATGGAGAACAGCAGCATCAGCAGCAAGTTTGACAGCCCCACCAACATATCCCTGGTAGGCAGTGATAGTCCACTGGATATTCTTGAATACAAGGTCATCTCCGTCTTCCTGGTGTTGGGCATCTGCGGAGTTGGCATCATCGGCAACGTCATGGTGGTGCTGGTGGTCCTCACCACCCGTGAGATGAGGACTCCCACTAACTGCTACTTGGTTAGCCTGGCTGTGGCTGATCTGATGGTTCTGGTGGCTGCTGGCCTGCCCAACATCTCTGACAGCCTGGCAGGAACGTGGATCTATGGGTTTGCCGGGTGTCTTGGCATCACCTTCTTTCAGTACTTGGGCATCAATGCATCATCCTGCTCCATCACTGCCTTCACTGTGGAAAGGTAAGAAAAGATTCTTAGGAGTAGCTCCATTCTATTAGACCAGGGGTATCCAATGTGTTGCCCTCGAGATGGTGTTAGACTACAACTCCCACCAGCCCTAGCCAGCATGGCCAATGGCCAGGAATGATGGGAGTTGTAGTCTAGCAACATTTGGAAGACCACAAGTTCCACATCCCTGATTTAAATCTATATGCTACTCTTTGTCAAAGTACCACAGGGTGGTTAACAACACAGAATTAAACAGTGCACCCAGATATACCTTGAACAGCAGCAGCCTAAAAAGTAAGGGAGGAGGAAATCAGTCTAAGATGCAAAAACAATGCACAAGTACACAATCTTCTCTCTATGCAAAAGTAGCTCTTGATCCCCACCCTCAGAGAAAATGACAGCTCCTCCCAGGTATCCCCTGGGAGCTTTTCTTTCTCTCCCAGTCTCTCCCCTCAGGAGATCTTCACATCCCTGCCCATCATTCAGGGTATTTCCATCCTCATTCTGCCACTTCATACAGATGTGGTCCTTGGCCCCCAGTGGCATCCCAGTGGCATTGGACCATCACTGGGCAGCCTGCTGCCTACTGCCTGACCAGCTTCTCTCTCCATATTGAAACATGCCCTTTGGGTGGGTCTGATTTGCCTGTTTCTATGCAGTGGCAATTAATTAACATTACCCCAAATCAGTGTTAAACAATAAGTGGCACCCATGTAGGGCAAGTGCGTGTGGCTTAGTCAAAGCAACCTGGCAAGTTGCCTGGCAAGCCCATGGCTTAGAGGTTCCCCACTGCTGTTTCAGCACAGTGTTATGTCTTTACTCACAAATAACTTCCTCCTTCTCATCTCTCCCAGGTACATTGCTATCTGCCACCCAATGAAAGCGCAGGCGATGTGCACGGTGTCGCGGGCCAAGCGCATCATCACCTTTGTCTGGATCCTCACCTCAGTGTACTGCACCCTGTGGTTCTTCCTGGTGGACATTGCTGTCAACAAAAGCCAGCAGCTGGAGTGCGGCTACAAGGTCTCCCGCAACCTCTACCTACCCATCTACCTCCTCGACTTCGCCCTCTTCTTCGTCACCCCTTTGCTCCTCTCCACGGTGCTCTATGGTCTCATCGGGAGGGTCCTCTTCCGCAGCCCCATCCCACACCAGCCCACTGCCTGCACCCAACGCTGGCAAGACCAGAGTTGCAAAGTAAGGATTGGCAAAGAGAGGAATGGCACAGAGGCCAGCCGGAGCAAGGCCAGCGGCTCAAGAACCAGAGTGCCCGTCTCCTCCAGGAAGCAGGTAACGCAGAGCCCTCTGGAGATTGTCAGGTGCTGCCAAGTTCAGGCCAATGGGCAGGCAGGTTCAGCCTTTCAGGGGGACTGGAGAGAACAGTGTCGTGCTGGCAAGAGGTCCAAAAGCTCAGCAGTGTATTCTGTGATTGACACAATCATAGTGTGTTAATGGCGGATTTGTTCTGGACCATCCACACATCATTTCACTGTCTTATTTGTTCTGCGATGCTCCCCCAGTGTTATTGATTGATGGATTAAATATATTTATATCCTGCCTTTCTCCCAAGATGGGATCGAAGGCAGCTTACATTTAAAAATATTGATTATTAAAAATAAAAACAAAAACAAACTAGTTAAAAAAAAAATTAAAACCCTTTTAAACTGTGCATCTTTGCATCCAGATAGGTTCATATAGGGAAATATATTACTTCATTATTGCCATCTACTGTAAAAGGGCATATTTGCATGACAGCACAACAGAAGTGGGACAAGTAAAATAAACTGGAACGTTTATAAGATAAGAAGTTAGAGGGTTTCAAAGGAAGGTTATGGGGCTTGCACAGACTGGAAACCAAGCAGTATGTCTGGCACAAAGCTTTTGCAGGTGGAAAGAGGTTTAAAAGTGGAATTGCATGTGACCACCCCAATACCATCATGAGCACAATCATGAGGGGGGGGGGTTGGAGGGACTCATAGATAACCTTGCAAGCCTAAAGTCTGCCCGGCCCTGATCTTTGGTGAGGTAGGGATATAGAACTGCAGGAAGCTGTCATGCAAAATACACCCGCTGAAATCATCTCTTTAACTCATCTATTGTACAGCATAAAACCATGATACAAAAGTAGCAATAGTAAAAACACCAATAACTTATCAATAAAAACAGTTGGTTTAAAAAAACACACAACCCAGCACATTCCAAAACGCTGTCCAAACGATGCAGTTTTTAAAACATGTCCGAAAGAAAACAGAATTGACTTTTGGTCAGGATTAGCTGACCAGAACTCAGGGACACAGTGGGCCACCAAAAGTGTCTCATCAGAAGATGTGGGTGGCCTATATGGAGCATAAGGAATCAGGATGTGCTTCTGGGCATGTGCAGAATGCATTTGCTTCCCCAACTAACAAACAAATAAATCCCAAGCTGAGCAGGGAGGGACGAAGGGTTTCTAAATAGTAACGTGAATTTCCAAGCAGATCCAAGTCCTTTTTAAAGAATCACTCATATGATGTGTCACCTTCCCTTTGCCAACATTTGTCTTGTTTGGCATGCCAACACGTTGGCTTTGCATGGAATTGAATTATCACCACCGCCGTCTGCCAAGCAAGGAGCCAGAAGCATTCTCAGAGCCTTCATCAACATTGCACAGTGGCGATGGCTTTGACACTGTTTTGTTTTAATTCTTTGGAAAGAGTCCTGGTACGAAAAGGGCAGGCTGAAAAGAGAATTCTAAAGTGAAGCTGCACAGTAGACGGTGCCGTTCCCACCCCACAAATCCAGGGCTGATGATGGCTCTGGGCAATGCTTCTCTTGTTCCTACCTGTTCGTTGGTGGATTTGTAAAACTGCTCTACATCCAGAGAAACACTGAGCGGTTTAGAGAAATTAAAAAAATATATAAAAAATACAGATCATAAACAACGAGAATTAAAGATGACAGAAATAAAGCCAGCTAATTTGGGAAGGCTTGGGGAAAAAGCTTTTGACAAACGTTGAACATGTCACGATGCTGGGGCTTGCTTCACTTTTGGAATGAGAGAATTCCAGAGAACTGGTGTCATGATGCTAAAAGCATGTGTTGGATTTAAAGCACTTTTATTCCACACTTCAGTTGAAAAAGCCTTCCGGATACCAGTGATAGGGCATCCCCTGCCCTTAAGAGACATAAGAAGAGCACTGCTGGATCGAGCCAATGACCCATTGAGTCCAGCATCCTGTTCTCACGGTGGCCAGGTAGATAGCTGTGGGAAGCCCTCAAGAACATGAGCGCAGCAGCACTCTCCTCTCCTTTGGTTTCCAGCAACTGGTATTCAGAAGCATTACTGCCTCCAGCTATGGAGGCAGAGCATAGCCCTAATGGCTAGCAGCCATCACTAACCCCTTCCTCCATGAGTTTGCCCAGTTTTCATTCAGAACTGTCCAAATTGGTGGCCATCACTGTCTCCCATGGGGGCGAGTTCCACAGTTTAACTGTGCGCTGAAGGAAGAAGTGCTTTCCTTTCTCTGTCCTGAATCTTCCAAAATTCAGCTTCATTGAATGGCTGTGTCTTCTAACGTTTCTCTGTCAACTCCCTCCAAGCCACAAAAAGAAGGGTTGGGGGGGGGGAGCAAAGCTATTAGCTGCAAAGCTCTTGTAATGACCAGCTGAAACGGAACATTTTGTAAAAGAGGAGCCAAAAGTTCTTAGTCTTCCAAGTGAGCCAGTGGAGAGACCTTGCAGTTCCATCTCTCCCTGTTTACACACAGGAAAGGAGTGCTCCAAGGTAGCAATGGTTGAATGGTGGTGCAAGGGCTGCATTTGGGCCCCAGGCACGAACAAAATAAGAAACAGCCCTACTGACTTGGATTATTATTTTTTAACTGGGTGCTTTGCAGCATGCTGCTTCCCACAGTAGCCAAAAGATGCTTTCAGGATACCCTCCAGCAGAGGCATCTCCCTCGCTGTTGCTCCCCAGCAAATAGTATTGTGAGATAGACTGCCTCTGAAAAGAGAGGCTCCATCCAGATTTCATAGCAAATGGCCGTACAATGGATCTCTCCTTCTCTGTGAGTTTGTCCCATGCCCTTTTTATTTGCTCATATCTATTTATTAAAATTGATATACTGCTTAATTGCAAATAAATAAATCTGAAAGTGATTTACAAAAAGAATAAAACAATGAGATTATCAGTAAAAGCAACTATTTAAAACATTCAAAACTAATTAAAATATACGATAAGCTAAAAATCAGATTTATTCATGTATTTATTGAGCATTTAATACCCAGGTGCAAGAGTCAAATGAAGTGTCAAGACTGTCCTGAGACCACAATACACTTTGGTTATCTTGCAGTTATGCAGCACAAGTAAGTCTGTATCATGTGCAAGAGAAGCACCACCATCTCCTTCAAACCTGAAGGACCTTCAAACCTATAGAGGCATGTTCTCAGTCTCAGTACGGCTCAATTTCTGCACAGATATCCATCATCTGCCAAATGCAGGTTGCTCTTAGATGCCCATTAAACATACAAGGTTGCAGAAAATTTACTTTTGCTGCATAAATCTTGTCAACACGAAGAAAATGTATGCAATATAAAAATGGCCTATCTGTCTCATTCCTACACCTTTCTGGAACAGATCCTGGCAATATGTAGAATTGGTGTAGAATTTTCTGATCTATGACATCCCAAACAGGCAAGCAAATGGAAAAAGCAGCTGAAAACCTGCAACTTGTTAAAGGCATCCAAGCCACCCACCTCTCTCTCTTTTTTGCTCCTCTGCAGGTGACCAAAATGCTGGCTGTGGTGGTGGTCCTCTTTGCCCTCCTCTGGATGCCCTACCGGACTCTGGTGCTGGTGAACTCCTTCATGGAGCACCCCTACCTGAACCGCTGGTTCATCCTCTTCTGCAGGGTCTGTGTCTACGCCAACAGCGCCATCAACCCCATCATCTACAACCTCATGTCCCAGAAGTTCCGCCTGGCCTTCAAGAAGCTCTGCAAGTGTGGGAAGGTGGAGCAGCAGCCAAGGCACAGATTCTATGCAGCCTCCAGCATGAAGAAGGAACCTGACGCCCACCCGCATGGGGACATCAAGGCTAAGGGGCCACCGTCCCCAGGAGGAGGCGAAGAGGAGGACTTGCCTGCTTTGGAGCAGGTGCCTGCATCTGAGAAAGAGAAGGAGCCGTATTTCAGCGTGCTCTAAATGCCCCAGTTCCCCTTGCCTCGCTCCTTTCTCACTTCCCAGTAAAGGACTTGCTTTACTTCTCCTAGTAAACTAGATCTATAGGAAGGGAGGTACTGTAGCTGACTTAGACCAAGTCAAACCACTGGTTTATCCAGCTCAGAATTGCCTACACTAACTCGGTTTCTACCTGGAGATGCCAGGGATTGAACCTTCTGCATGCAAAGCAAGTGAGTCATGACACTTCCTTTAAATATAATAAGATCTTGTGGTTCTTGTTTAAATAGGAAGAGAGGCATTTGCCTTCTACTGAGTCAATCTGTCTCAGGATTGTCTTTACTGGCTGGCAGAGGCTGTCCAGGATTTCAGACTGGCGACATTCCCAGCCCTATGGGGAAATACTGGGGAATGGGCCTGGGACCTTCTGCATGCCAAGCAGGTGAGCTATGGTAACTGCGATATAGGAAGTTGCCTTACTGAGTCAGACCCATGGCTCAGTCCTGTCTATGCTGACTGACAGTGGCTCTTCAGGGCAGGAGGCAGGGGGGCTCTTCCAGCCCTGCCTGGAAATGCCAGAATCGAGCCTGGCACCATCTGCAGGCAAAACTGGTGCTCTGAGCAACCCCTGAGCTATATTTCAGGAGCCCAAATCAGTGTTCACCCACCATTTTGAACAGAATTGTGTTTCTGACTCTGGGAAGGAGTTTGTCAGGGCTGGAGCCCTGCTACAAGTTCTGTACTCAGGACCTAAAGGATGCTGGGCCAGAATCAGGACTGTGTACCAGCTCCACCCCAGCTCCAGGGAGAGAGCTGCAAGGGGACAGACCACACCAGCCAAGGAAGCCTCTTGGCAGTGAGAGGCCAGGGCAAGCCAGCTGATGCTCCTGGACCCCTATAAAAAGCTGGCATCTTTAGCTTGTGCACAGGTCTGAGCTGAGTACCTAGAGACAGTACAGTTCCCCTTGCTGCCCAGGTATGAGAGAGCTGCAAATGGGGGAAGAAGATGGCACAAACCCCTCCTTGAAAAGGGTCACTCCATAGTCCACTGACCATGACTTGCTTTGCTTTGGCCTCTTTGATATACAGTAGATAGAGATAGATAGATGATAGATAGATGATAGATAGATAGATAGATAGATAGATAGATAGATAGATAGATATAGATACTTCTCCTTTTTATTTGCCTTGCTGCTCCAGAAGCAAGGGACAAGGTGTGCTTAACTCTCTCTGCTCCCATCTCCCTGAAACTGGTGCCCTCCAAAGGTTTGGGACTCCAGTTTCCATCAGTCCCTGCCAGCATAGTCAGTGGTCAGGGATGCCAGTGATGTGTGGAGGGCATCCCAGGTTGGGAAAAGCTGCTCTCAAGGCTGCAGACAGGTTGTGCTGGAATGATCTTGCTGGTCTTACAATGGGCAGAAACACAGTTGCATCACAGGCCTGAATTGTGATTCCTACATGGCAGGGGGTTAGGTTGCATGACCCTTTGGGGTTCCTACAATTCTATAAGTGCAAAGTCACCCAGAAGGTGCTCAGTTCAACAGGGACAAGCTGTCTGAAACAGCAGCATCTAAACCTTTGTAACTCAGCCTTTGAACTGATATGTACCCTTTTCCACCCACATCTAGGAATGAGTCAAGGGTGGCCTTTAAGAAAATGTTTTATGAGATATTTGGTGACTTGAATTGGGTAACTACTGGGCATAGCATTGCATGGCAACAGACACAGAATAAAATGTTACAAGGCTTCAGTGGTAGACTGTAGCATCCATTGGGGGCAGGGACAGGTGCCCTGGTGCCATCCACATGTTGCTGGACTGCAACCCCCATCAGTCTCAGCAAGAGATGATGGGAATTGTAGTCCAACATCTGGACGACCTCACATTGGCTTTTCTGGATCAGGGGGAAGGTGTACACATGATGGTGGCAAAGTAGACTCTGGAAAGTAAATGCTATTGTGCAAGTTGCCGGTGACTCATTTCTGCTCACTTTGAGCTATGTGGCTAGGCTCCCCTTGACACTGGAGCTGTCCAGTAGGACACAGCAAAGGAACTAGCCAGCCAAGGACAGCCAGGCTTTATAGAGCTGCCCCAGCAGCTTGTGCAAACCTAGCTTGGGCAGCAGGTGTTTTCAATGCTGCTGTCTGCCCAGGGTCCTAGTCTCTGGATTGGAAATATGACCACCCTGGGACCTGCTGGTGAAGGGAGGGTAATAAAATTAAATATAATTAGAATGATGATAATGATAATGCAAACATGCCCAGGCTGGAAGTTGCCTAGAGTAGGGTGTGTGTGATGGGACAGGGAAGGAAGCACTGGCCCCACCTTATATAAACAGGCAAACCAACAGCTAGAGGATGAGCAGCAGCCTTGTAATTGGAAAGCTCCACAGCCCATGAAACTTTGAAGCCCTTCATATAGCATGGGAGGAAAGCTAAACAAAATTGATAAGTATTTCAGAATTTGGAGAGAGACACCAGGCAAAGACTGTGAGTGATGTAACTCTGTACACAGAGAGAGGTGGATAAGAGAGAATGGAACCACGGAGAGTATATAAGATTTAATTAAATGAGGTGGAAAAACAATTATCGTTTGAAACTTGCATTTCTGGGGTTGGAACTTTGTGCAGGAATAACATCCTCACTGGGTCTCCTCTAAAACCCAGAGGCTGACTCAGGTTTCTGAAGGAACCTGCGTTGCTGCAATTTGCTGTCCACCTCTTAAAGAGAAAGTTAAACTGGCAACCAAGTTCATGGAGGAGAGGGCTATCAATGGCTGCTAGCCAAGCTGCCTATGTTCTACCTCCACTGTTGGAGGCAGAATGCCTATGAATGCCAGGTGCTGGGAATCCCAGGTGGGGAGAGGGCTCTTGTGCTCGGGTCCTGCTTGCATCTGGGTGCCCACTGTCAGAACAGGATGCTGGACTAGATGGGCCATTGGCCTGATCCAGAAGGCTCATCTTATGTTCTAAATGACCACCCTGTCTTGAGATCACAGTCAACAGAAAGTGGAAGGTGGATGTTCTAGAAAAACTAGGGAACCACTGGGAACAACCTGTCCCATTGCTTAATTTCAAAAGAGTAACGCTGCAGAGTAAAAAATGAAGGAAAGCATCAAAAGATGCCAGGGAGAACAGTTTTTTTTTGTTTTTAAGTTTGCTAACCACTACTCTTTGTCAATGGGATTTCCCCACCTCTTTCAGAACAGAAAAGTTCATCTCTCATTGTCTGCTTTCTGTCCTTTGGTAAGGATCCCCTGCCCCCATGCAAAGAAATCCAAAGACTCTCAAAATATACTCCCAACACTTTCTAAAATGTCAGTCCTCAGACCTACCGAATCAAAACAGCATTAAGCATGCTGGCTCCAACTCAGAAGCTACAGCTGATGAGCAATTTATTCCTCCCAGGCATAATTCAGTATGGAAGTTCAAAAGAAAAATCACTTATTTACACCTCCCTCCCACAAGACTGGAAAGAGACAGAGTGCTAGCTTATGGTCTCCAGCTCAAAGTTGATTTCCGTTGCCACACTCGTGCGTGAGCTTTATTTGAAAATGTATAATGCTCTTTAATCTTGGCTATTGTAGGCCAAATGATTTATGCACACTAAATATGCGAAGTGAGTTCTCTTTCTCTTCTCATTGCATAGATGAACATATCATCTTAGAAACGACCAATATGATGGGCTTTCTATTGCTCCATTGGTGGGGATGTAGGAGAGGTGCACAGCTTGTTGTGTGGCAGTGGAAATCTCCCCTGGCTTTAGGAATGCTCCAGCAAAATTGGGGTCAAAATTGTAGCCAAGTGCTAAACTAGTTATGATGGTGTTAACTGTGGTTAATTAGATGAGTGTAATGAATGTGAACTTTTTTTGGGGGGGGGGTCATGTAAATATCAGCCACCAGGAAATCTGAACAACCTCAAGATCATGAGGAGTATTATTAAAAAAAAAATTTTATTATTGTGGAGGAAAAGTGGGAAATAAATGCAATAAGAAACAAACAAACTCCCATCATCCCCAGCTAGCATGGACAAGGGTCTAAGGAAGAGGGGAGTTGTAATCCAACAACATCTGAAAGGCATCACTATGACTGCATTGTGGACATCCTGCTTTTATTCTATCCATTTTCAAGGGCTATATACCACCCACTAGCAAGAGTGTTCCAGGCATATCTTTAGGACATGGGCCACAACAGAAAAGGCCCTGCCAATGCTTATTTTGTCTTGCTTGAAAAGATTTCTACCCTGTCTTTCCACCAGTAGCTCTTCAAGGGAACTAATTTGTTTTTGTATTATTATTTATTATTTATTATTATTATTTATTGAATTTATCTACCACCCTATACCCAAAGGTCTTGTAGCTTTTCTCTAACATCTATAAGGTATGCACAAGCGAGACTCACCTCAATATCTGATGGGAAGGTGGGGAATACATATGGAAAATCTAGTTTTCAGGGTCAGTGTTGTCTTGGGAAGAATGTCAGGGGAATCTACAACACCTGAGTGAAAATCTGCAGGAGGAAGAGGAATGTGAAGTTTGCTAGAACCAGCACAAGCTGAGCCAGCCCCATGTCAGACTCAGCAGGGCCCCCAAAGTTCAGCAAGTTCAGAGAGTAATTGGGTGTATAATAAATTTAATAAATATGCTTACTAAGACATTACACATAGGTTAGCCCAGTGGTGTGGTGGAGCAGGAACAGGAACAAGGAGCACCAAGGTAACTGATGGATGTTCCTTGCTCTGGCAAGTGGATGAGGTAATAACGCGGCTTTCAAGCTGTGCTATTGTTTGTGACATGTAGAGGAAGAGGAAGAGGAAAATAATCAAGCAGAGGTTGGGTACTACTTCTTCTTCTCTTCAGTAGTGTCCTGACTTCAGCCCAGCTTAAAAGGTAACACTTCTTTGTAAGACTGTATCTTGAATTAAAAGCTAAAGGTTGCATTTCATGTGGCTGAAGACCTTTTGCTAAAGATAAATGCATTTTACAAGCTGAAACTATACACAACCAGAAGGACCACTGGGTCCAACGGAGCTTACTCCCTGGAAACTACAGGATTGCAAGCATGCCAGATGACACCACTTATAATAGAAGAATGTTAGAAGATCCTGTCTGCTGCACCAGGCCAATTATAGAATCATAGAATCATAGAGTTGGAAGAGACCACAAGGGCCATCGAGTCCAACCCCCTGCCAAGCAGGAAACACCATCAGAGCACTCCTGACATATGGTTGTCAAGCCTCTGCTTAAAGACCTCTAAAGAAGGAGACTCCAATGGCCAATGGTCCATCTAATTCAGCATCTCACAGCAGCCAACCAGAGGCCCCAATGGGAAACCCGCAAGCAGGACCCAACTGCAACAGCAATTCTCCCCACTTGTGATGGGTATTCAGAGGCACATTGCTTCTGATTTTAGAGGTGACATAGCCACTGTAAATATTTCATTTTGTTTCCAAGACAATTTCTAGCCTGCTCTTTGTCATATGATCCCAGGACAAGTTGCAACACAATAAAACAGTAAAACAACAACACAGCAATAAAAGCAAATCAACATAACTCATAAAAGCAAATAAAAACCCAACATCATTAAACACACCTGGGGAGCCATAACCAGAACTCATCACTTGTAGCTGCAACAGAATTCCTAACTGTGCCCCCTGCCCAAAACACAGGCATACTGGTGAGTTTTCATCTGGCTCTAAAATGACAAAATTCTCTGTGCCAGTCGTCCTGGGGTTTAAATGTTACTGAACTACAACTCCCATCATCCTTAGCCAGCTTATCCATCATCAGGGATGATGGGAGCTGTAGTTTAACAAAATCTGGAAATCCATGGTTGAAGAACACTGCTCTGTGGGAAGGGTGTTCCACAGGTGGGGCTTCATCAGGCAGGAAGTCCTATTATATGTCCATGCTTAATACTGTTCTCCCAACAGAAGGTAGCTGAGCTCCAGATCGAAAACACAGAGCGGCTGGTGCAAGGAGATGTGTGCATTCTGGTATTTGAGTTTCAAGGGCTAGTAGCTACAGATAGCTTGAATCCCTATGAATTTGTCTAATCCCCCTTTAAAGCCATCTGGTCTGGTAGCCACCATGACATTTTGTTGCCAAGTGCATCACATTTCTTAAAGGCCATTCTAAAAACGAAGGGTTTTTACACTGCCTTCTAGAACATCCGCACAGCTGGGCTCAAGGGAGACGAGGAGAGAAATTGGTGCTACTGCAGTAAACATTGGCAGTAGGAGAGCTCAGGCAAAGGGCACCGGGGCCTGAAGGCCGGAAAGGAACTGCTCCTTTGGCATTTCAAAAGGTGGAAGGAGTGTTTTTGAAAAAGCTTTGCCATGGTTTGACAAAAATATAATCCTTTGCTGAGAAAAGCTGTTCTGGAGGATTTTGCACTAAGTTATAGGCTCTGAGATGTCGCCAAGCTGGGTTTCCTGTTTGTTGGATGTTAATTAGTGGGATGCACAAATCTTCTTCTGCAATTAACCTAGAGCAGCCTCCCCTGACCTAGCACTGCCTAGATGCTTTGCCCTACAATTCCCATCTGCCACAGCCAGCAGAGCTTACAGGAGGTGTATTCCATTTGATCCAGAACACAGTTTCCCTACCAAATGAGGAAGACACCAAACTGCGCTTTTGTAGCAAGATCTGCCATTGGGAGCAGGATTTTGAATTCCCTACCATGAGCATTCAAACTCTCTGCTAAAAAAGTTAGTGGAAATGTTTCTCCTTGAAACACAGCAGCAAAGACGTGCAACTGTTTCGCAGAAGGGTTTTTAAAAACCATTCTAATTACCAGCAGCTGGGCAGGATATGTTTGTGGAAAATGTTCCAGGCTAAAAAAGGTTTAAAAAATAATAACCAGAAAGTATTTACATGAAGCTAAAAACCATTTGAGACATTTCCTCACCACTTCCTCACCAACCCTTTAAATACTGTAATTTAGTGCTTCGTTTTCAGTAGGTCAAAAAGAAATTCCAGCTGGCTCGCTCCTAATGTATGCCCTGTTCTTCAGTCAGAAAGGCCCTCAGAGTGGTTGACAGATGAACAAAAACAACACAGTCCGTTTGCTGAGGCTTACAATCTGAAAAGGCATGTCATGAAAGAAAAAAGGGCTGAGGAGAGGAGAGGAAAACAAGCAAATTTGGCTACCAAATTATTGATTTTACAAGGTTCTATTTCATGACCGAAAGGGACGTGGGTGGCGCTGTGGGTTAAACCACAGAGCCTAGGACTTGCCGATCAGAAGGTCGGTGGTTCGAATCCCCACGATGGGGTGAGCTCCCGTTGCTCGGTCCCTGCTCCTGCCAACCTAGCAGTTCGAAAGCACGTCAAAGTGCAAGTAGATAAATAGGTACCACTCCGGCGGGAAGGTAAAGGGCGTTTCTGTGCGCTGCTCTGGTTTGCCAGAAGTGGCTTAGTCATGCTGGCCACATGACCCAGAAGCTGAACTCCGGCTCCCTCGGCCTATAGAGCGAGATGAGCGCTGCAACCCCAGAGTCGGTCATGACTGGACCTAATGGTCAGGGGTCCCTTTACCTTTATTTCACGACCAGCTCAGATGGAAATGGGCTCTTCATAGCTGAAAAAAACAGGACTTGAGACACAGCCTGGTGTTGATCCATCTGTTCCTGGAAGTGACTGTAGTGCAGCCAGAAGCTGCTGGCCTTACAGAGTGGGGCCTCAGCCTTCTGAGGTCCAGCTGGAATCTGCTGCCTTCTCATCAGTCCTGCTGTGGATTGTGACTGTATCATAAGGTAGTCACAAATACCTTCATCATCCCATGTATTAACAGGCCAGAGAATAATATAATCAAAAGTTCTTCCACTTTGTCTGG